CAGGACCAGTGGTGTGAGTGACGATACAGGGAGGGTAGAGGGAGAGTGGGTAGGAAAGAGGGAAACGATTACAAGGAACTATTTGTGACCTCCTTTCTGGGGGACGGACAACCGAAAAGCGGGTGAAGGGAGACGTCGGACAGGACAAGATATGACAAAAAAACAATTTATAAATTATCAAGGGCTCATGAGGGAGGGGAAAGCAGGGAGGGAAGGGAAAAATGAGGACCTAATGCCAGGGGGCTTAAGTGGAGAGGAAATGTTTTGAGAATGATGAGGGCAACGAATGTACAAACGCGCTTTACACAATTGATGTATGTATGGATTGTGATAAGAGTCATATGAGCCCCTAATAAAATGATTAAAAAAACCAAACATACAACATTCCTCTAGTTCTCTAATGCTCCCCCCTCCCCCCACCATCATGTCCCCATTCTCTCTTACAGATCTGGCTAGACCAGAGGATGTACACTGGTACACTTCCTTAAAATAATCCAACTTTTGGATGATTATCCAAAATGCTTCCTCGTGGGAGCAGACAATGTGGGCTCCAAGCAGATGCCGCAGATCCGCATGTCCCTCCGCGGGAAGGCCGTGGTCCTGATGGGCAAGAACACCATGATGCGCAAGGCCATCCGAGGGCACCTGGAGAACAGCCTGACTCTGGAGAAACTGGTGCCTCCTATCCGAGGGAATGTGGGGTTTGTGTTCACCAAGGAGGACCTCGCTGAGATCAGAGACAAGCTGCTGGCCAACTAGGTGCCAGCTGCCACCCGTACTGTTGCCATCGCCCCGTGTGAGGTGACTATGCCGCTCAGAACACGGCCCGGGTCCCGAGAAGACCTCGTGCCAATCAAACACAAGTCCTATTTAACACTGTCTCCTATTTAGCATTTACCAATCAGTAACATCATAAATGGAGAAAAGGTTCAAGTTGTCAAGGATTTTGTCTTACTTGGATTCACAATCAATGCTCATGGAAACAACAGCCAAGAGATCAAAAAGACATGTTGCATTAGTTAAACCTGCTGCACAAGACCTTTTTAGGGTATTGAAAAGCAAGATGTTACTTTGAGGGCTCAGATGCGCCTGACCCAAGCCATGGTATTTTCCATTGCCTCACATGCGTGTGAAAACTGGAGGCTGAATAAGGAAGACAAAAGAATCGAGACATTTGAATTGTGGTGCTGGAGACGAACGGAAAAGTACCACGGAGTGCTAAAAGGACAAACCACTGTCATGGACGAAGTACTGCCAGAGTGTTCCTTGGAGGCAAGAATAGCAAGACTTCCGTCTTACATACTTTGGACAGATTGCTGGGAGAGACCAGTCCCTGGAGAAGGACATCATGTTGATAATGTGGAGGGTCAGCAGAAACCAGGAC